GATTTATGGTAGACCGCCACTTAATGCAACCTCCATTGTGGGAGCGGCTCTATAGCAACTTTTTGCCAAACAGAATGTCTGCCCTTCCCCAAAAAAGTGCTGCCATCTGGGACGATAGCTCTGAGCAAAAACTCGAAAAAACTGACCCTCCAACGGCCTCCGGAATTTGAAATTCGTTGTATGTATTTAACGTGGGCATTAAACCGTCTCTCAGCTTTTCCACGTTTCGCAGTTTGTGGTTTTTGAAGATTTTTCCAGGGGATTTTGAAGGAAATGCCGCATTTGTTCGTCGTTCTTCACTTCCATTTTAATTGCCATAAATTTAATGGAATGGTAGGGACCATTGGGGAAAAATACAAGTCTTTGCCTCCAAAAAAGAATTTTTTTTCTCTTCCCTGGATCAGCTCCCCCACCACGTCGCTGAAATAAGGAAATTTCCCAGCCTAACAAGCGGCAGCCCCCTGCTTGCCACATTCTCTTTCCAGCAGCCATCTATCGTCGCCCAAAGTACATTTTTTTGACGTTTTCTTAATTTTTCGGTTTCCTACTTGTAAAGAGAAAATATTATTTTAAGATTATTAGAGAAAAGTAACACACATCGTCCTTAATTGCAATTTTTTTAAACATTTGGAGCCGTTTTTAAAAAATTGGGCTTTAAGCGCTACTCTAAATTCGAAATTTGAAGCTCTTTCACAGAAAATGTTTGAGTTTTCGGAAAACTTCGCGTCATTTTAAGTCAATTTAACTCACAAATACCATAGTGTTTGCAAATCGTTGAACGTGTGCTTATCAACGGAATGAGAGATATTTAAAAAAATTACATTTGTGTAATTTAAAAAAATCGAAATGAACTTAACGTCATATTAAAGAGAGGAATTACAACTATACGTTTCGAAATGTTTGAAGAAAAAAATTGGAACCTTATTTCAAGAAAATGAAATTTGAGCGTTTCTGAAAACTTAGAATTTTTAGCTAGTATTAACAGAACGGTTGAGTTTTAGAGACAATTTATATGATTTTATTTAAAGCATAAGCACTCATAAATGCAATAATATGAACAAATTACTGCTAGTATAAACATGAGAGATAAGTCAAAAAATTACAATTTTGTAATTTTTGAAAAAAAAAACAGAAGAAAAGAGCAATATGGCGTTTACCTACCAAAAGTTTGAAGAAACAATTTGAATCAGTTTATAAGAAATTTTTTTTTGTTTTTAAATTGCACATATTGCACGCAATATTGCGCGAAGGCTACTAAAATTTTCAAAAAAATTTACATGACTCACAACTGAGAACGTAACTCACTACGGAGGGTAAATTTTATTTTAAGGAAAAATCTCTGCATTTAATCTGTCACTAGAAATCAATTATTCTTCGGAAATCTTTGAAAATTCATATTTAACCGTGAAAATCGGGCTTACTCTACCTTTATAAGCGTATGTTACTCTATTCTAACAAGAAATTTAGAGAAAAAACTTAAGGCCGTTTTGGAGAAAATTTTGAAATTATCGGAAGGGCTTAATGTAAAGTACCCCCAAATTTTGTCTATGTGCCAATGTTTATTCGAGTCAGATGGATCGGTGTTTCTTCAATTTGGAAAAACTTTTACGCATGGTTTAGGCGCTAGTACGAGTAGTGTTCACAGACACCAGACGTACGGACAGACAGACGGACGGATAGACGGATGTTAAAAAACACTTTTTCGGTATCCCAAAATATGTATTTCCGTTGAAATCTCGAAATCGATTTTCCGCAGCATTACGTAACTTTCCCTATACTACGTATATTACTCCATATATACCTACGTATACAGGAAAGTAAAAAAAGAATGAGGTAGTAACATAGTAATTTTAACTAGCGTGCTCGTGCGAAAAATCTCGCATGTAAAATTTCACCCTTTTCCCTATCTTTCCTTTTTCATATTAAGAGGGTAAAATGCTAACAAAACGTGTTTATTTGTTTTAAAAAATAAAAACGTAACTTGAAATGTATTTATAGAATTAAAAATTAAAACAAAGAAAATTGAAATTGACGTTTGTAACAAATATTGAATAAAGCGCGAATTCATTGTTATAGACGTGTTCCTGAAACCATTCACCATACTTCCTTAAAAACAGGATTTGAAGTAATTATACAATTTTCCTTGACAGTTAGCTATTCGCTTTCCTCGATAGTCACAGAATTATTACAAGCTTTCTACTCTCGAGAAAGCTTTTTAAAGTGCGAAAAAACAGGTAGGGCAAGATAACCCTATTCTTTGAAAAAAAGTTTACTTTATGACAGAACTGAGAGGTACACCCGAGCAATTTCATCGTTTAGAATATCAAGTAATCAGTTTCATTTTACATACAGTTGCAGATTATCTTTATTACGGATTCTGCAGATTCCATAGATACTGTAGGCTATATCTCAAACTTTTCACAGAAACAAGAACGGCAATATTTACATGCGATAAATGAACTGTCGCACTCTACACATAAAAAGCAATCTGCATTGGTATCAAGAAACTATTAATACTTCTTGTTGTTGCGAGATCATTTAGGTTTATTTGCATAATCTTAAATTAATGATTATGCAAATAAATCGCATGAGTCGACGCAAACCGCGGTGTACACAGAAAGCATACATATAAGTTGGAGAAGCCTTCTAAGCGTTACGTCACAAAGATTGAATTGAATTAATGCCTTATGTTACGTGGCGAGACTCAGACCATCAGGCCCGCTCTTCCGTCTGACCACACAAATTTCGCTACGCTCCTTTCACCAACTAGCAGAGCAAGGCCTCCAGGGCCGAGTAATACAGTTGGTATTGGATAATACGGATAAAGTACCGGGCCAGAAAAAATGTAATAGAATGTCCAAGAATTTCGTATCCTGTAGATAACGGCGTAAGAAACGTTTCTTGGAGGCCTTTCGCCTGAAAATTTCAAGTTTTAAGGCCCTATAAAGCTATGTTTAGGAGTTATTTTACGATATATATTCAAAACTTCTGACAAATGTTGCAGGTTGCATTTTGCATGAATATTTATATACTTGTTTTAAACAAATCCTTCACACTTTTGAAGTCAAAGTTCAATTCGCCACGTCTCCGTGAAATTCTCTTTCGTTTGATACCTTGTTTATCAAGATTGGTTGAGTGTGAAGGCCGCAAATGGTATGTATACTACTAAAATAATGTAGGAGACGATCATTAAAAATATTTAAACATAGCAGACGTACGTTACGAGTATTAATGAACCAACTTCCAAAATTCAAATTTCATTCGAATAAATCACACTAAATATCACTCGTTCTTTGTAAATACTCAGATAAATCCCCTCCACATTTCGGAAGTCGGGTAATTAACGATAATTTCCAAAGCACTCGAGGTATTACTTATGACTATTTGACTCGGGAAATTAAAACCAATAGTGTATTATACCCCAATCAGGACGGTGTTTCTCAAAACTTTATTGCTTTTTCTATGCGACTTTTCTAACCTCTCCTACCTGCTCACCAATTGTAATCTCTGTCTATGTACCTTAGGAAGCGGTATGCATCAACCGCTGTGTGAAATAAACCGCGTTTGTATAATATGTCCTCTCTAATTTTAACGTCGCTTTCAGTTATTTTCAATAGCAATAACATGGTGAGATTCTGTGCTGCATCTTATGACCCAATCAATGAAATAATTACCGAAGCTCCAGAAAAAAGGGGAAGAATAGAAAGTATATTTGACATGAATATGTAGATGCGTTTTTTAAAGAATTCCTTCATATTTTTAGTCGAAGTGCAATTCATCACTTCTCCGTGAAATTCTCTTTCTTTTGATACCTCATTAATAAAGGTTGGTAACGTGTGAGAGCCTCAAAAGGTATGTATACTACTGATATAATATAGGCGACGATGCTATTCCATCATTAAATCCCTAGCTGAAAATCAAGACTATTCGGTAATCATAAATAAATAAAGACAGACATTCATTATCAAACATATCTGTTCCAGAATCCGACACGATTGTGAATGAAAATGAAGTTTCTTCAACATTTAATTTTAAACGTGCCTGTTGAATAAATGCATTAACCACTGAAAGATTATATGTTTGTAACTTTGAATTTAATATTTGTGATATCAAAAGTTTACTTTAAAGCAAAATAAACATACATCGCCTATATATTCATTTGTTCATCTCAATTTGGATTACGTATAGACCGAACACCTTGCCAATCTGGTACATTATCGTATAGCCATGGTAAAACTAGTGAAATATGAAAGGTAATTGAATAAAGTACATTAATATAATACTTCGCACATTTTGAAACTCTGTTAGACGTAATTTAGTTCGTGGAAGAGTCCTATTAAATACCACTCAAGCTTTGGAAACTCTCAGAAAAATTCCAAAGCCTCGTGGTATTACCTATGATGATGCCACTCGTGGCATTAAAACAATGTGCTTAACTTTCCTAAATGCGCCAAATAGGGTGGTGTATCTAAAAAAGTGCATCGCTTTTTCTACTGGATTTTCCTTACCGCTTCTGTTAGCAATTGACCGCCAAATTGCTTCAAATTTGGCGCCTTGTTTTTTAATAGGGCGTTTTTGATGTTCTTTGAAGGCATTTCAGAGGAAAGGATTATACATTTCAAACTTGGCGCTTCGAAGATTCAATTTTTCTTAACAAGCCGCGCGAATTTCTTCTCTGTTGACTCATTACTTTCGTATAAAGTTCCTTCAAGAAGATTTTAATCTGTTTCCAGTTAGTTAGGAGCATCACCAAAAGATCACATCAGCTCCTGGGCAACTCCCCGTTTCGAAACATTTGGAGCATTGTCAAGAGTTCTGAGAATCTAGCGTTTTCCAACGATTTCTAACGAGCCCGCATTGTAATCAGAGGCGAAGTGCAGAACCTTTAATAAAAACGTTTTGAACGCTTTCAAGGTTCGATTCAGTGGGGTGACACTAGATAGGGCACATCCGGTCCTTATTAAAATTCCATACAGTAGCCCAGTAGCCAATCAAAGTTCAGAGCGACGCCATATACATCTGTACAACACCAACTCGCTCAAGCGGAGAATCGGTGAACTACTTTTTGCAGTTTGAAATTTTTTCGCAAACGAGCTGTTGGTTACCGTTGGATTCCTTCTCGTCGAGTCGACGACGTCGACCTATGGTTGTATATTCACGTTGCTGTTCGTAGGGCTGTTAACGCCATATCGCAGTCAGTGAATTAGAGAAATGAAGTGATTTACTGCTGTTTGAAGTCTGAAGCGTGCATTTTGGCTTCGAGAAGATGATGGGTGCGTAACAATAGTGGAATTCTTTTATGTTCATGTTCAGTTGCAGATCCCTTGTTTGGACCATGCGAGTAGACACCCACTGCAGCTATGGGTGTAATTGGTAAGATTTTTTTAATAGAATATTACTAGAATATAGTTTTAAATAGATATTTTTGTTATAGTTTTAATAGAATATATAGTTGATGAGATGCTATGATACGCACATTTTTTAATTTTCAGATCCTTGTACACAGGCAGCTTTTCAAACTGAAAATGGTAAGTCTCTTGTATGTTTGTAAAATGCAAAAAGAAGTTGCTATTGAAAGCATAATGTATTGAGCATATTTGTTGTTGATTATACAGGTTCCAGTGCTGTTGAACATGCTGTACAGCAAGTGCAGCAGATCTCTTATTATGGCCTTGGTGAAAGGTAAATATTTGCTATAATCTTTAGAATCTCAATTATTACTTGTTGCATTTTTGAAGATGGATGCTTTCAAGTTTGTCTCCATTTTCAGATCTTTTTCACCCTGTGAGGTGTCATCAAGTTTTTATGGACGTTTTCATGGTTATGTCCTTTCAATTTACAGTTATTAGTGCCAATTGAAGGAAATTATAGTAAATAAAAAACTATTTTTTGGTGATTAAGATCCTTGTACTTGAACTGGTGCAGAGAGCCATTCTGGGAGATGATCTGCGCCTTCGGTGTGTGGTAAGTGCAAGATATTCCTGTGCTTTCTAATTTCCTAATTCTAGATGTGAATAAAAGAACATCTTTCTTTTTGATACAGATTTGTTTTTCAGAAATTCATTTGAGGACATAGTATCTTTCTTAACATATTTTTGCTTTTCAGATCCTTTCCAGAGATGGCTTCTGAAGCATGCATATTAGACCTACGAGTTTGCACCTAAGTGACTTTAAATTAATGTTCACTTTGAGGATCAGAACTCAGAGAGATAATTTCAAAGAATTATTGTTATATGAGTGAATAACTTGCGCTTCATTGTGCACAAAGTTTCTGAACATATTTCTTTTACGCTGACAGTGTTTATAAGGATGAACAACGAGAGTTTTAAATCAGTGTGTATTTCTGTCATTGGGTACAGATCCATTATATAAACTATATTTCCCACATCTGATTTGGAAGTTATAAATTAAAAAAATTTAAAGATAAATTAATTCTGTAAAGCATGATCATTTTCTCAATTTTGGAATGCCTCTTGCTATGTTAAGACACTTTATTTGAATATTATAATACAAAGGTTTTAGTTTGTTTTCAGAGGCTATTTTCATGCATTTTTAGAATTTATTTATGGTATTAAATAGTCTGCAATTTGTTCTTTCTTATTAGTATTAATTGTAATTATTAGTATTGAAATAAGTTACTTATGTATTGTTATATCTGTTTCTGACAATAATAGTTCTCATGACAAACACAATTTTGATTCCATTTATATTCTAGTATGTGCATATATTGTGTTTTGTTCATCGTCATGCAATTACATCTGGATTGAATGCTTTATCTTATTAGATTATGTATTGTTGTGAGTCATGAATGCAATGCTTGATTCTTATATCTCAGTTATTAGAGATTGCCCAGTTATCAGAAGGTCCCAGGCTTGGTCCTGGTGAATCAAATGTTTGCACTTTGACAATCCACTTTCAGATTATTTATTAAATTGTATTGCAATAAGCATTGATGGAATTCCACTGTTTGTTAATCATTCTTTTAAAGTGATGTACTTTCACAGTGGATCTATTTTAAAAAAGCCAGGCTCTGAACTGTGAATGTGGTGAAGTAGCATGGGTAAATAAAATATGTCAAATATTGACTAATGAAAAACATTTGTAGGTTGCAATAGTAAAAGCGGTTCTTCACGCGAGGCATGCAGAGCTGTAAAAGCTCAATTTTTTGCACTACTACTTATCGGGACAATGCTCAAATGTTCTGATAAAAATTTGAAAGCAACAAAGAAAACAAAATACGTTCATGTGACTAATAGATAAAATAAATGGGTTTACCCTTGTAATCAATTACTATTTTCTTTTACCTGGGCAAATGTGCGGTAGTATTTTCATTTGTTTATTTTCAAATTCTGTTTATTGTTTATTATAATGTTTGTTGTAATGTAGTATTCCATAGTATTAATTTGGCATATCTACAAGCAAATGCTTAAGTTGCAATTATGCAGGTGTACTGTTTATTACTTTCTGTAATTCAAAGTTGTTATTCTAATGAAATTACGAAATTTTGTTATTCAATATGCTCAATAAATAACTAGATTTTTGTACCTGAATTTGACTTTTGTTTTCTCCATGAAATCCTTATAATTATTATTGTGAATTTTTTAATAAATTAAGGCGTTGAAAGTATGGGAGTGAAATTTTAAAGTTCCGCGTCGCTGGTTTACTTCAAATTTATTCCGGTTACTTTTTCGAATTGGCTGTCCGTTCAACAATAGAAATTACCAGAAAATGTGCGGACGGAAGTTGGGCAAATAAGGATTTTCCTTTAAATTGAGTGCCGTCTCTGTTATATACTCTTTGGTTGGATTCAGTGTGTGCCAGACACGGTGCAGTTGTAATGTCAAGTAAACCGACGAAATTCGTAAAGAAAGGTTTAATTTCGTTTGACAGAGGTAACTGTGACAATTTCTCCAATACTCGTTCATTCTTTCTCCAAGGTAAAATCTTGTCATTGTGATGTTGTTCCAGAACACTTTTCTTTGGCAAAATATTATTGATAGAAGAGGCGATGTTTCGTTGCAGATTCTACTAATTGATCGCCACCTTTTCTTCCAGTATTTCGCTGTCTCAACAGTTTATCTACTGACCAATCATAAACTGTTTGACTCAATCTATCTTCGGAGGGATATATATAATCGTACATCGATATTCAATAAACAGTGAATGTAGTATAACCACTGATTTTAACATACGCTGTCAGTTATTTCAATAGTTGGGGGCCCAACAGCCAACGTCTTGCAACAGCACGGTCCCCTGACCATTTCGAATGTTTATGACACCCACCCAATAACCGAAGAAGGGGTAAATTGTAAAAGCGCCCGCGAGCACATCTGAATACTTCGAAACGCCTGTCATCGTGATCGGGGAACCCGAAGCAATAATTCAGTAGCCGGGAGCCCCTTCAGAAGAGTGGCCTACTTTCGCAAGAGAATGGAAAAATGCCTATACTCCGCCGGAGCCTATTGGCCAAATTTAGTGTAAACGCCCGCATCACCTTTAGCCAATAGCGACGCGACTGTTGTAGGGAGGGCAAGAACAATATTGAGGAGAAAGGGTGGGGATAAAAGTTAACTTCGTGCGTTTAGGAGAAATAAAATTACAGTTGTAGAGAGACTTCTCTGGGTGGGAGCCAAGCTCGGGGAGAGCGAGTACACCTCTGAAGGCACTTGGTTAAAATTTCAGTTTTAGTTGAAAATCACTGGGGTGATAGACCGGAATTCTCAGTGAGAATTTTAGAGGAATGCAAAAGCACTTCAACGTAAATTGTCGAATCCTTTGTTACTGCGTATTCGCTGCAGGATTTCGCAATTACTGAAATTTTATTCGAGAGGAATCGCATACGCAGATGGAGACATTGTTGTGTGCTTCGCACCTGCGATCGCCAGTTATCTACAAATTTCGCCGAACGAAGCCTCCAGACGACCTCCTGCTGACGTCACGGACTGCCGCAGACGCCGCTGCCACACTGCTGTTGAGGGGCGGCGACGCGATTGCATTCCAGCGAAGGTCGCCTACAAGCTCCGCCGCGCCCAGGCCCTCGAGCAATCTGCCACGAAGGGCTCTCAGGCATTGTAACTGGGGGCAATAAACCTTTTGCAGTATTCTCAAAGCGGTGTGCGCGCCAAGGCACAAGAAAGGGTCCTCAGGGACAACTCTGTAATATAACTATAAGATAATTTTGTATCTTCTTATTGGTAAGCTTTCCTTTTAATTTTAATCTTTATTTTTTTATAATCTTTTCTTTCTTTTATTTTTTTAGTTAACTTCCCTGGTAGAGCTCTGCCCAGGAATAAAGTTGTCTTTTACCAGTAATCAATGTTTATTTGATAGTGCCCCTGCATGCTTTAACTTACAATGCCTTCCATCACTGAATCTTAAGTTAAGGAAACTGTTACAATTGGGTAGTTTTTACACGAGTAAAGGGAATAGGACCGACAGCTATAACCGGGCCGCTAACCGCGCATTTTCCTTCGTCGGGAGATGAGTGGAGGTGTTACAATATGATATTTCATGGTTGTGCTATGTTCCAGTGTTGGCCATTGCTTTTATTTATAGTTTCAATGGATTACAAATAAAGATGGTTTTCAATAATAAAAGTGTAACGGGTAATATGAGCATTTTCTTTACATGCGTTACAATATTCATAATATATTTCATTGCTATAATATATTATGTTGCTCTGTTTACCATTGCTTAGATTCTTAATTCCGAAGGATCGCAACTGTAAGTGTATTGGAATCTTATATATGTAACTGATAATATGTGCAGCTTCTTATATTGTATTAATTGTTAAGCCAATGGGCATGTTTTTTTTATAGTTTTCCCAAAGTTCCATCCATAGAATCCCAAATTCTTTTGAAAACACATCGCCTCTATGTAAAGTTTTTTGGAACTGGTGAAAAAATTAAATCTAAAAGGCGAGAAAGATCTCAATATGGGACGAGGTTTTGTTCTTCTACAATACTCTTAATGTCACGTTAATTCTACCATTAGGGACCCGAAACATTGAGAAAAGTGAAAAATGTAGTTTAAGAGGCAGTAGTTGACAACCGAAAAGATGATGGGGCAAAACAAATAACACAGACAAAAAAGTTAGAAAAATAAATAGTTTCATTTTGCAACACATCTAGTTTTAATTTTGTCTCAATTTTTATCCCCAATGATAGAATTGAAATATCTATTTAATAATTTGAAAGAATAAAATCTAGATTTATTTGCAAATGTTCATAGAAACTAACAGCACATACTTTCTTGCATTATTTCTGTTCGACAATTCAGAGAGTTCAATGAAAGTCAGACCCGCGCTATTCTTTTAAGCGTCCTTTCTATCCACGAAAAAAATAAAGAAAAAATTTGGAGCAATTTCTGAGATTTTTTGCTTTAAATTGCAATAACTTCAAGACCAAATTACGAGCGACCAAATTAGCGAAGACTACTAGATTTTTCAAAAGTGCTACGTGAGCTTTTTTAAAGTGCTGATTTGTTTGGAACACACTTTGTCTAAGGCAAACACTTTACAATCTTGATTATTTTTTAATGTTACAATGGGGGCTTTAATAATAAAATTTTAAGTAGCATACGTTTAAGAAATATATTTTTAAATCATTGCGTTAACATTATGAACTTTACCAGACGCGACTAGTACATACAAAGCAGGATTCAGTTAATGAAGTCGATCCCTCTTTAATTAACTGAAACAGTGATTCAAAAGAACTGTACCACCTCAAAATTGTTCATTTCTTTTAATTTTCGTTTCTTATAGGTTTCGGAATTTTAATGACATCCAAATTTGTTTACAATGTTTGGATTAGATCAACCCCTTCATGATCGTATCGTATAGTTTTGTTTTTTATTTCTGTTTTAGTGTACCTGATAATTCAATGAACATAGTTACAAAACTTTGTAAATGTTTGTCTTAAATAGTTTCCGTAAAATATAGACGATACGCTTTTTATTATTAATATCAATTAATAATAACAATCAGACAGGGATTTTTCCATCTGCAGTTTCCACATTACTATGTTACTGAACGCGTGACAACACAAACGTTTTTTGCGTCTGAACAGTGACAGCACAAACGTTTGTATAGGCGACAATACTGTATTTTTGTATTGAGAACCTAAATTCTTTTATTTTCGTATTTGTAAATGTGAAAGGGTTTAAATCTGAAAACCAATATTTGATTATATCAAATAAATCGAGTCAGAAAGGTCGAATTGTTTCTCGTTTATTACAGCAAATAGAGATGGGTTTTGTCTGCAATTTTACAAAATGTAGATGTGAGATGAACTGTAAACGTTTCCAAGATTTCCCAATGCGTTCCGTATAAACCACATTTTCCATCACAATGTCTATAAGAAAGCCCAGCCATGGTTCAAATTTGATCTATCAGAATTTGATATTTACAAGCAATCTTGTAAGTTGCAATTTGATATTTATAACATTCTCTCAATTTCATATTGCAATTTGATTCGCAATTTTCTTGTAATGTGATATTTAGAAACAAAGCTTTTTCACATTAATTGAACAGTTATTTCAACAGTAACAGTTACAATAATATTACTTGAAAACTACTTGATGACTTATTTCCAGTCTGCAAACATTAGGTATTAGGTGTGTATAGGGTTTCAAACGAACTTCACTTATTCCCTACACTAAACGGAATGTGTTGTCACTCGAAAGTTCCTGACGCGTGAAAAAGAAAGCTGAGAGTCTACTATTTTCAAAACTCCAGATGTTTTAATCAAAATCGGATTTAAATATCTAATTTTGATTTTTTGAAAAAAATTATTTCATTAAGGCAAAAATCTCTACCTTTAAAAGATGTTGATATTTGGCAATTTTCGAAAATAGAGGCACTTCAGTGAAATTTGGATCGTTGGCATTTGTATAAACTTACTTTGAAAAGAATAGAATTTAAAAATTGAGCCACTGTTGAGAAAGACTTGAAAATGTCTTTGAGACCTTTAAAAATCAATTTTATATTCAAGGCATCAGGCAGATTGTTCGGCAGATTGCTGTTTCTAATTTGTTTACTCTTGGCAGTCTCATAGATTTTCCCCCAACCTCTACCCAGCTGTTACCTATCGGCAACCAAAATACTTTTTTCACTATTTCTCAATATTTTGCTCCTCTAATAGATGAGTTTGAAATACGAATTTAAGAAACCTAGAAGAGCGAAAGCTCTTTTGAAATGCAAATTTTTATTGAAAAACCGGGATTTTCTTTTGAAAAAAATATCTCGTGATCTTTGCAGAAAATAAACAATTATCTGTGTTCATTTTCACGAAAATATTTTGAGTTTTCGATAAAAGTCGTATGAAATAACCAATCGTATGAATAAATGTAATAATTTATAAAAACGCACGTAATGTAATTATTAACAATGTGAATGTGAAAAAAATACATTTGTGTAATTAAAAAGAAAACAAACATCAAAATGTTTATTTTATGCTATTCAGTGAATTCAATAGTATCTGTTCAGAACGTTTAAAGGAATAATTTAGAGCAGTTTTGAGATAAAATTTCATATTTGTTTTAGATTTTTGTTCATATTTCACTCAAAATTCCGTGAAAACAATTAATATTTTACACAAATTAGAAGAAAAATAATCATCTTCAATGTTGTAAATGTTGGAAGACCCCGAAACAATTTTAAACTTTGACAATTATCAAAACTTCAAGGATAACCGAAAAAAATGGATCTATTCCATCGTTTGTTTGGCCTATTCTTTGTGTATTTCACTGTATTCTTAAAAAGAAATTTAAAGAAAAAAATTGTATTCACTTTCATACCTTTTTAAAAAGATCCCAGAGACTTGACGTAAAGTGCCTCCAAAAATTAAAGAACGTTTATTCATTCTGAAAAATTTCAATTTCGGATTCATTTCGGAAAATAAATCTAACTTTAGGCACACGTCGGAGGGGCGCAGAGACAGACGGACAGACGTAGCTGCTTAGCTGACCGGGACAAAGCACGTCCTTGGCACACGTGTCCCGGAAGCACAGGTAACCATTAGGCTCCCAGACAGACAAGTAACAAGCGAAAGCCTACTCTCAGATAGAAGGACGTTTAGAAAAAAAACTTTTTATTATCAAAGTACCCCAAAATATGAATTGCCGTGTAAATCTCCAAATCGATTTTTGAAGAATTAGATAACTTTCTCTAGTACATATATTACTCTATATACATATTCGTGAATGTAAAAGGACTACCTTCATAAAACTTTTATTTACCATATATGTACGAATGCAAAAGAAAGCAATTGTGATATATCCCTTGGTTGAAACGTAAACGAATAAAACTTTGAATCGATGTGGTAGTGGCTGTTGAAGATATAATACATTATAGAAACTTCCAAGTCATGTAGGAGGATCGCAAATGTTCATTCTTTCCCAATAAACAGTTGGTGGGTTTTATATAACATTACACACGTGACATTGACTCTAAGTGATAGGCAACTCGCAACGCAGTGATGTCTGACATGTCACGTTCTAACGGAATGAGATTTTCTATACTCGTAATACATATACACGTTGTCTACTATTCACGGGCTAATTCCACTTGTATGCAAATGTGGGGAAATGCATAGGTAAATTACACATGCCCTTTAAGGTAAAGGGCAGTTTGCTAATAAATAGATATTTATTAGCAACTTATATTCAACTTATATAATAGATATTATATAAGTTGTAGAGTGGTTATGTTGTATTGAAACAGGTAATTATCACCACTCACCTGAATCATAAGAAGCTGGGTTGGGAAACTTCTTGAATGCGCACGAAGTCTCAACAAAGAAGATGTTATTCTCCCCGGGAACAGGTTTGAATGTCAACCGTTTCAACAAATTTGATAAATAGTGCGGAGACATCCTAACTTCTTGGGCACGCCCGCTTCCTTCTCGAGAAGCATTACCTCGAATCCTCCGGGGTGAGTGGGGGATCCCAGTCACCGGCGAAAGCGACGAAAACATCACAAGGAAGCCCGCCACGGAGACGAGCGCCAGGTAGGGAGCGGGCCACATGGTCTTTCGGGCACTGGAAACCTCCCAAGTACCTGACTCCGCTGCAACCGCCACGGTCGGATATTAGGCACGCAGATGATCTTCAATTAACTCGTGGCTTTATAGAATGGCATTGGCAAAAATTGCGCGAAAAATAATCATATGTACAAAAAAATTACACATGTCTTTATTTCAAAGTATATCTTTAACGAGATCATTGCGTGAAAAAATATCTATCTTTAATATTTTAGTTGTAGGAAGACGCCGAAAACAAATTGAATTTTTGTAGTTTTCGAAAAATCAATTTGTTGTTAACGACAATTAGATTTGCTCCACTCTCTCAAACATTCTTTGCACAATGCATAAACCAAATTTAATAATAGGGAGTTTTAGCGCCAGGCGTAAGGAGATATCCTTAAACTCTATTAATCACGTGACTAACGCCTTCATATGGTCGTAATGAACAACGTTCATAAGTTTTAGCAATTGCGACATTGCGTTATGCATTATAACAAAGGAAGCATTTCAAGCGTTGAACAGAGAAATTGCATAATATATCAAAGAGTATAGGCTAGTGGTGAGACATTTAAAACACGTTACGAGTCATCAGACCAGCGAATACACATTGTGCATGGAGTTTTAGATTTTCAATCTGCTTTTCTTGAAAATATAGGAAGTACCTTAAAACAGCGTTCGTTATGAGCATAAGACATAAACTATCCCGAAGATATGATTTGAACCTCTTTTTCGCAAATTTCTTTCCTGTCGCCTCTCCAACATATCCCATTAATTTTTGCCAGCGTTGTGGAGTACGTAAGGAATAATTGTAACTGCCTTACATACGAGAATTGGTTTATTAGAGTTGAAAAAAACAACTTTTCCTGTTTTTAGGCGGCCATTTTGCCGCTTGTAAGGTGACCGTAGAGACTCTCACATGCGTGCAGTATTTATGAAGGTATAAGGTCGTACCTTAGGCCTAAGGTAAGACGTTATGACTTCAAGGTCTGTCACGTGACTGTTAGTGCATAACGCCGCTACCTTACGCGTGGCGCTAAAACTCCCTAATAAACAATGGAGTCAATATTTGAAACGTTTGAAAACGTTCCAGGGTGATGTAAAGTACGCCCTAGAATTAAAATATCAGTTTAAAATTTAAAGGACTGCAACATCAGTCAGATCGATTAGGGAATATCAACTTAGGAAAAAATCGGTTGAACGGTTTAGCTGCTAGCATTGTTCACAAACAGACAGGTGGACAGATGTTTTGCCGTCAAACGATTTTGAGGTATCAAGGACCCACAAAACATGAATTCTGGCTGCACCACGTGTTAGAAGATTTCCCCCCTGAATTTAGCAACTGGATTTATCCTTTTTTTGTGCCAAGTCAATGTAATAAGTTTTCTGCCAAAAATTCACCGTTTTTTCTCGCAACAGTACATAATTTTCTCTCTACCGCGGTAGTGGTAGCGGGAAAATAAAAATTATTTACGCTTGCTTGGCTACCTGCACATTCACTTACAAAGCCTTTCGTTTCTGGCGCTCGCCACCGCTGCCGGCACACAACTAGGATACAGCCATCGGCTCCGATAGCAGCGCTGTGTACGACCGATGAACTAACGAAGTAACGCGGCACTGAGATAGCACGCGACTCCGCTACAGCGCCTATACTACTATTTTGCTTCTCTTCCGTCTATACCAGCTTTTGGACTACATTCGGTTTCGTATGCTACAATACTTTTAGCTTCTAAATGGACTTCTCTTCTGAACGATCTGATAATTGGCTTTCGTTTTTGATTTGCTTTTTACTTGATCTGGAATCTTCTTATCGATAATTGATGTATCAATTTTTAAACAAGTGGTGATCTAAACTCAAATACTTTCTCGCATTATTTCCAACTACTAGTTATATTATATTATTACATAAAGTTTTAAAAATATTTTCAACCACAAAAACGTATTTCCTCTCCCAGACCATCACAGTCAATTTGCAGACACCCTTACCACTACGCCACAGAAGCGTCGGATAGCAGCAACCTACGAAAGAGTAATAATATACGAAACGTTTAAATATATCACGGTAAAATAAAAGTATGTTGGTCCCATGAGTAGAGTCTATAATATATTTAAATTACATGTTGATAGATTGGGTAGTATTTAATTAAATCGTTTCATACAGATGAATATAGAGACAACAATTGATTGAAGGAGACATACCTTTTAAAAATAGAATAAGAAAGGAAACATTGTTTAAAAGTTGCAAATTTGAAAATCACATACAGATACTTCCCGTTTATTTATACGTATTGATTGTATTTGTGAGAAAAAATGTTTCAAATGCTTTTCAATAACGTTTCAGGAATTCTTAATAGTTTTGTTCAATAAAAAGTACAATGAATCCATGCGCGGATTTCGATCATGCGTCGATTTGCTTCCAAATTCTGAATCCGTATACGCTATTTAACCACCGCAGCCCTCCGGGTACGACACTAGATGTTCCCTTCTATAATAGTCTTCAAGATATGGTTTATTCATGCCTAACATTGGTACCAAAAATTTGAGAAAATGGGAAAAAATGTTTTTGGGCGGCAAAAGATAGAGCTGGGAAGAGAACTCAAGAGATAGTCGAAGGAAAGATAATTCAAAAGATAGTCGAAACAAAAGAGATTAGAAAAGTAACTATACCGAGAAAGTTTGTATACCATTCAATAAAACCACCAGTTTTGTTTATTTACCATACGTTGTTACATACGAGGAGAAATTTTAATGCAAAATTTCGGGACATTTTCAGAAAAAATTGTTTAAATTGCATAAATTAAGATATTAATTATGCAAAATTAGATATTTTCCAAAAATTGTGCTTGACCTTCTTTAAGGAGCTGATTTTTTACAAAAGACTGTTTAAAGCCAAAATCTACAGTTTTGTTGTTTACGTTTCTTGGCATTTTCAAAAAAATTGAACAATAGCAAAAAATCAAATTAGCACCATATTTTTTTACCGTCACTCATTGCATATGAAGAGAAAAGTTTTAAAAAAATTGGAGCGTTTTTTGATAAAAAAAGTTGCATATTATTGCGCGGAATTACATGGAAACTACTCATACTTTCGAAAAATTATTCATTAACTTTTTTAAATCCGTTTTTGGAAAACATATTTAAATAAGGAAACAATTCTGATCCTTCAATCATTTAGTTGTAGAGACGCCCAAAAAAATTGCGAATTTTTATTTCCATACACGAAGTAATATTTGGACTATTGGGGAAGTATGTATTGCTGCGAAAAATCGACTTCGACATTTCAACGGAAATACACGTTTTGGGGTCTCCTGACACCAAAATAGTGTTTTTTTCATAACGTTATTCTATCGGCCCGTCAGTCTTGTCTGTTGGTGTATGTGAACAACACTAGCGCCTAAACCATACATAGGATTTTTTCCAAATTGATAAATTCCAATGTCCATTTGGCCTGAGTTCAAACTCTGCGATTTTGAGAATCATTCATTAGTTTTTGTGGATACTTTACATGAAGCCCGTGGGGACACTTTCAAAGTTTTCTCAAAAAACGACTCCATTTTTTTTCTTTCAATTCCTTGTAAAATGGGGTAACATACACGTATCGTAGGTTTGATTTTCTCTATATTTTTGAAAATTTCAAGAGGATGATTTTTTTCGGTCTCTTCCTAAAACTACAAAATTAAAGATCGAGATTTTTCCTTCAAATAAAATTTGATCTCCATTGTCAGTTCTTTCATAAAGGTCAGGAACATATTTATGACAATTTTACTAGTTTTGCGTAATACTACGTTAAAAATTGTTCCTCACGCGAGTACGCCTCAAAATTTCAGATACATGGAGTACGCTTTGAGGATAGGTTAAGGAATAATTCTTTTAAAAATAGGTAATTACGTTTCTCAAACAAATTGAGAGACAAAATTGCGATATTCCAAAATTCTGGTAAAATTTCAAAAGTTATTATGCCCCCTATGAAGATATTGTTGTAGGGCACAAAATTAATAGTGCAAGCAAAACAAAAAACATATTAAAAAATTACATATAAATTAAATCCGCAATGAATTAATATTTTCTACCAAGAGGACGAACCCCAAAACACGAACATGAATCTAATCTAATGATATTGCTTTTACCATTTAAACATTTTAAATATCGACAAAACGCCTTAAAATAATTTAAAACGTTTAAAACGATAAGCCGATTTCCGGGCTATTATATTGTCAATTCGATCAATGTAAATGTTTAATGATTGGCGAAGCACGAAAAAATACAGGATGCGATTAATTCATGTCCCTGCGAAAGGTTTGAGATTTTAAAAATATTAGGCTGATTAAATGAAAGAAACTAAATGAGAGCGTTTAATTGGAATGATTAAAAATAATACGCTCACTTTGTTCAATTAAAAAGAAAAACACTTAAGTAATTAAGATAAAGGTACCACCTTTACACTAGCAAATGCTAAGGCTGCATTTGATTAATTAACATGTTAATAAATTTCTTGTTGATACAGTTACAATTTCCAAATTGAAAATTGCATCAAAATCAAATAGTTAATTTAAATTAATATATAAAAATCTTTCTACTTTGTTTTGCATACCATTCTGTTTAAGGTCGGTATAATACATCCAAGATATTTAAAGTTTGTTACTTCCTATAAGACAGTTTTCAGTGATTATTTTGAGTAAATAATTTCCTTTCCTTTAATTTCCCACGTTGTCGTTTTTTTTTGTTTTTTGTTTTTGTTTTTTTTTTTTAAATACTTTTTCACCTATACGTATGTAAGGAAAATCGTGCACAGGAAACCAGCGAATTTTCCAATATATATCTTATTGCCGGGCCCTGGTAACGAAAAAATTGAT